GAACCACTTCCTGACCCCGTGCTATCTTTCGTACCCCATGTCTCGATCTTTTTTTTTTTGGTATCATACCGACCCAACAAAGCCCCCGTCGCCTTTCTTGATTTCAGAAGCCTTGTTTAGGCCCCCATTTTTCGGAGGGTCTATTGATTCTTGGAATTCTTCTTTTTGTAATTCGGGAAATGCATAGGAAAATTACGTGCGCCTTAGCGAGCGCACTGGGAATCGGGCTCGACAGTTAGGAATTCCCGAACGAGCGGAACTCGACGTGTCTTTTTCTTTGCATGAATGTTCTTGGTCACGTCGGAGAAAACTCTAGGAATTTTGTGAGCATACGAATAGGTATAGGACTTTCATTTCCCATGTCGACTTTCAGGTGCGGATATAGTGATTTCAATTTTTTGAATTGGCTTAGGACATAGGCAAGCTGTAACTGTTTTGGTGCCTTTTTTGCTATCGGCGCCGTACATGCAAGCTTCCTCCTCCTTATTTCCCGCGTCATTCTTCCCCCGCGCTCTCTTCTCTCTCCCTTCTCCCTCCTCTTCTTCTCCTATTGCAACTGTTTTTTCCTCTCTCTGCTTTTTGCGCGCTTGTTTCCTTTCTTGATCATTTGAACCTTGGACCCATCTCGCACTGCTTTTTGCGCCTCTTTCCTTCTCGCTCTTCAACCTTGCCTCACGAAGCCCGGTTAATCCTCCGATTACCCTCGCTCACCAATCAGACGCGTTGAACAAGAGGATCTTCCTGTTGCGCGACGAACTTGATTGGCTCAACATTGGATTCTGAAGGATCAACATGGCTTCCCTTGAGCACCCCTCGCTGAATCTTTTCCTCTTACATATCGATCTCCCCTCTGTCTTCTCCCTCGTCTGTCTTCTTTTTTGCAACTATAAATTCCGCAAGCGCGCCCGCAAAACTCTCTTACGTTTTCCACTCGCAAGCGAGCTTCCGGGAAGCAGTGGCTACGTGATGCGTTTGGTGCGAGTCGAAAAGTCCTGTCGGGCTGACTGTACACTGGCTGCTTGCGCGCTTGATCGCCACGACAGACTGTGGGATCCAGGCGAGCCGTGTCGAGCTTGCGTGAGCGGGGTGATGATCGCAGCGGTGGAAGTTAGCACGCGACGGCCGGGATCGTCGGTGCGGGTATGAGGATCAATAATTAGAGTGAAGTGGATGATTGGCCCGGGGCCATACTGAAAGCTCACAACGCATGCGCCTTCATTGTTGCGGATCATTTTCTTTTGTGTGAGTTCATGGCTGCAAAGCCGAATGTTCCTTTGTCGGATTCCAGTGTCTCCTGTCGCGATATTTCTCGTCTATCTCTCCCATCTCTCTCTCTCTCTCTCTCCGATTTGAATGACGATGTGTTACGACTTACGAGTTTGTCTTTCCTAAGAACCGAAGTAAACTCTTATTGTTAACTACGAAGAAGAACTTCTTTCGGAACCCTTCCATTAGTTTCCTAGGTAATCCCCGGGTGTAAGGGTTAAAGGGAGCTCAATCCTCTTGTCTTGTGAACGGTGGATGCGTGTGTACTATCCCCCGATTTGTTTTTGATGCATCATTGCCATTTTCGCACCTTCCACAGTGGATGTATGCATGGAAATGTTTGTAGGTGAATTTCGGCCTTGATTAGATCCAGATCTCGATGGGATTTTGTTCGAGAATGCAAGAGTGTTTAGATCTGTCGTTTTGAATGCATTGCGCATGCCATCTGCCTTATACTGCACAACATCTGCAGACAGTCTATGGGGCAGCCTCGAAAAAGCAAGGCGCCTTGCATTTTTGTCGATCCGGTCTGCTGAAACTGAGTCGCGGGTTGATCTCTCGAAACTTCGACCGATTATCGCATGGTTGTACGAACTCTGTAACATGCTCCCCCGTGTCAAAGGAAAGGAAAATACTAGTTAGCTCTTTTTCGATTGTGCTTTTTGATGACATCTACGGGTTTTTGCAAACTCATTCTAATTGATTGATATGTGGACTGACGGTCGTACCTCGATCGGGCGCCAACCTTGTGTGTGTGTGTGTGTGTGTGTGTGTGTGTGTGTGTGTGTGTGTGTGTGTGTGTGTNGCCACACCGCACGCGCACCGGTTGCGCCGTGTGTGCAGCACATTGACACACGCTGCTTTTTGCCGGCGCGCCCTGTGCGCCGTGCCTCCTTTTTTTTTGTGTGTGTATGTGTGTGTGTGTGTGTGTATGTGTGTGTGTATGTGTGTGTATGTGTGTGTATGTGTGTGTGTGTGTGTTTGTGTGTGTGTGCGTGCGTGTGCGAGAGAGAAACTGCACGTCTTCCACACGGCGAGGCCATAAAAAGCCGTCACATGGTCTCGCAGCGACTCTCGCTTGTGTACCAGAGTTTCCTCTCTCTCTCTCTCTCTCTCTCTCTCTCTCTCTCTCTCCCCGTATCTCCCTCGCCAACGCGCCCCTTCCCTTACAACGAGGAAAGAAAACGTGTTTGCGAGTGGGACGTAGGAGAAGCTGTCGCACGGATCGACGGGCGATATTACTTCCCTTCTGAAAATTGTTGTTCTGGATTCGTGGATTCGGGCTTTGTCATTGTCGATACGCATTACCCACTTTACTCAGTATTACTGTCATTTAACGATCTGCTCGTCATTCCGTGGACGGCAGTGGCCCCCCATTGGCCTTGAACCCTGTGCACGGAGTGCCAGCGTTTCGATCGCTACGAACCAAAGGGTTTCCACTACCGGATACGGACTGAAGACGAGCACAAGGAAAGAGCCACGCGGCCGAGACCCTCCACGTCGGACTCTGAACTGACCAACGAGCGACGTAGGGACTTGATACGGAAACGAGACATGCGGAGTGTACCGAAGCCCTTCCGCTCTAAACGAAGATCCACAGCACGGTGGGAAGTTCGACAGTACTTTTTGGATTGAATTTGGATTTTTCTCTCTTCGCGCCGTGCTTGCGCGCGCGTTCCGCGACGCACGAAAGCAACCGACTTACTTTATCGGGCCAACACGGGGGATTTCAGTTCTGTCTGTGTCCCCACACTCAATTTTCCAAAAATCCTTGGCACACCCCATCTTGCTGTTTTTCTCGGCCTTCTTTCCGCATCCTTAGCACTCCGAATGAAAGACAGCACAGGGCGTGAGGTTGCGCGTCACACTCATCCCACCCATGCCACATTATCAAGACTCGCACCTGACCCAATGCCTCGCAGATGGGGTGGGTGCGGGTGGGTGTGGGTCTGGGTACCCGTTGCTCATCTCCCGTGCAAGGTCACGCCCGTCCCACAACACAGACATCCGCAGGAACGAAAGTGCCTTCCATCCGAACGCAAGTGTTGGCCCCTCGCTTTCCCGTTCGGTAAAACAATGGAAACGTTTCCTATTTTGGGAGAGATGGGTTGCGGTCGCAGTGAATCCCGCCATCCTTCGAAGGTTTGTTCGTGGTGGACGGGAACCTGTATGCGCAGGTCCCCGTTTTGCTTTGCCATCCCCATTTTGCTTTGCCGCGGTGCTGTGGGGTCCACTCCTAATTCGTAGGAAGCAGTCGTATGAACCTGGGCGGAGTGCCTGGATCTTTTTGGGAGGGACAGCCTGTAGCAGAGGGACCGAGCATCATCCGAGTGGCCAGTCGCTGTGCCTTCCCGATTACCCCTCCCCCTATGAACATCAGCGCAGACTGCTTTTTAATGCCAAGGCATGCAAGTGGCATTCAGGAGGTCCTGGGTTCAATCCCAGTCGGCCTCATGTACCTTCGTGGTCATACTTGGGGCCCGTCACGTAGGGCGAGGTCCCTTTAGCAGTAAGATAGGAGTGTGGCCGATCCAGTGTGACACTGACTGGCAGCGGGCTGACAGGTTCATTACGAATTTCTGGGCTGAGAAAACAGGAGAAGGCAAAAGGAAAAAAAAGAAACAAAGACCTCCCAACGGAGATCACGGCAGAGTGCTTCCCAGCCATCAGATTACAAAATGATCTGATGGTGGTGGTTGCATCAACAGTGAACAAAGTAACCGCAACATTTCTGGAATAAATTCTACTTCTGTCAGCAGTGATCCTGACACCCTCCATATTATACTCCGTGATTAAAGGAGGGCTCCACCCAACGAGATAATTGCACAACGGCAAGTAAAATACTGGCCCCACCCTCATTTGGGGTTGGCCACACCCCCAACCTTTGCCCCCACCCTCTTTTGGGGTTGGCCACACCCCCAACCTATTTAAGAGATTCTGGCCACACCCCCAACCTATTTAAAAGATTCTGGCGGGAAGCTTTGTTTGCAGGGGCATGCCCAGTGGAGGGGAACGAAGATCTCCTTACTTTTTCGGGTAATACACGTAAATACTGACCGTGGGATCACGAGTACTTCTCGGCAGGATTTGGCTCACTCAACTGCCACACGAACTCGTTTCTATCGTATCCCGTTGGTAGTGGGACCTCGCCCCTAGAGATAGCCCGTTGGTCCCCCCAATTGGCATTAAAAAGCGCTGGATAAAAAAAAAAAAAAGAAAAAAAAAAAGAAACGCTGGATACCTTTTTGTTTTCTTTTTTCTTTTCTTCTTTTTTCTTTTTTTGATAAGAGGGCGACGGCATTGAGGTATGATCGCTGAGCGCCAGGTCATTCTGGTCATTTGATAGCGTCTGGATTTGCACTTCGGTCTGTATTTCAACATTTGGTGGGTGCACCAACTGAGCAAGGGGGTCTCGGCCCACATGCGCCGTGTAGTTTAGTTTTCTTCAACTGTGTGAGGGGATAAGAACGTTGTGTCATCTTCTTATTTGATTTCATTCATCTAGGCAGTTCATGGGTGTGCCACATCCTATTCCTCCTATTGGACAGACTTGATTGCCTTACCTTCCCCGTGCATTCACTGAAGAGGAAAATCCTCGTGTAGTTTACTACAACCCCCGAGCCTCTCCCGCCATCCCCAACGTGACCCCAACATGACACCCCAACCAATCAGAAAACAGTAGACTGCTGGCTCCCCTTTCAAAAAGGCGGGTTGTGTAATCCTACCGTCCTTTTGTCAGATGATCAATGGTTCGCAGTGATCCCACAGTCACACAGGAAGCAGAGAACTAGACTACACCGCTGCATGTGGACCAAGACACAGGCTCGTTGGTATGTAGGGACCGCAGGTAAAGCGCCCGTTGAGGAGAAGACGCCAACAGAAGCTGGAGCGGAGGGGGATGACGTGTGTGAAGGCAGGAGGGGGGAGGGGTGACGTGTGTGAAGGGAGGGTGGGGAAGAGGCCACAACATCAGACGAACGCCCGGGAAGAGCGGACGGAGTAATTCCGACCTCTCGGCAGAGTGCTGGGAGCTGCAGGGCTTGATTCCACTGAGAGGGGGAAATTGAGGTTCTCAGCCCGCTGCTCTTCTCTTGGTGATGGAGCGGTGTCATGCATTGCCGTCGCTCGGTTGAGCATTCACAGCGGAGCCGGTCGCCGTGCTGGCGGAAGAGGGACGGAGCGAGCGCGGCGCTAGACTTGCGTTTGCTGAGGTGGGGGGATCTGTGTTGTTGTTCTCAAATCCTCTTGTACCCGCGATGAAGTGGCACTGGCGTGTGGGTCACTGAAAAGCTTGATCGGGGTGATTTTCTTTCGTTCTTTTTTTGTTGATCGGTCTGAATATCAGTCGAGCGGCGTGAGAGTCCCTCGGTCGTGGAGCGAGCAAGGTGTCAGCTATGGCGCTGAGCAAGGGGGGGACGGCGTCGTCATTGTCTCGACGGTTTGGCTGAGAGTGATGTGGCACTTGATTTTGAGATGCCAAGTTGTTGCTCTCTGAGTCTTTCACGGCATCACTTCGTCGCATTTGTTGCACTGTATTGTTAAGTACACTGTAAAAGAAGAGAGAGAGAGAGAGAGAGAGAGAGAGAGAGAGAGAGAGAGAGAGGTGGGGGGGGAGGGAGAGCGGGGGAGGAAAGTTGGGTGTAAAAGAAAGGGCCGAAAGCGGCCGAGAAGCCTGGGGAGGGGGGAGGGGGGAAGATGGGGACATCGAGGACGAAATAGAAAAGACTTCGGTCTTGTAGACGGGGAAGTCACGTGGCGGGCAACGAGGATATAGCAAATAATAGCACTTTCCTCCCTGGGAGGGAAAATACTAAGTGCGTGGCCCTGTGACCGTATTTCAACGCCTGGCTTGGGGTAGGGAGTCCGCTGGATAATTGCCTCGACTTGCGCGATGGAGGGAGGAGGCGGAATGACGGGGAGAAAAGTAGCTCTCTCTCTGGCGATGATCGCCATCGCCGCCTGTTGCATGTTTGACCACCAGTCAGCTCTGGCGGTAGACCTCATTCCTAATTCAACTGATTCCCCCAGCTCATCCTCATCGGAGCAAGATCCCGTTCTGGGATGGTCGACACGTATAAACCCGAACATTTCTGCGCCTTCAGCGCGCGTTCTTTCGCCGTTGGCTAGCACCCAAGCCCCTAGCACCGAGGCGGGTAGCACCGGGGCGCCCAGTAGTCCATCGCCTACTCTTGTGCCAGTGGGTAGCCTCTCTCCTTCTCTTTCGCCCACCCTGGACGTTGCTCCCAGCAGTCCATCGCTAGTCCCCGGCCCGGCCGCCAGCACGGCGCCGCTGTCCGGCCCGAGTCTGGTACCCCCGACCAGCAGTTTCACCGGAATCGACATCATGTGGGACGTGATTCAGCCTAGCTCGCTTGCGTACTACACGGTGCAGCTGAGGATCAAGAACGCTGAGCCTTACAGAAACATTCTGCCCAAGGACTACAGCTGCCCGTACGACGAAGAGAAGCCGAACAGCGGCTGGTGTTTGAAATGGGACTGGAACCACAACGAGTACATCTCCTCGGCCGAGGGTTGCACGACGACGAGTAAGGGAAACTGCGAGGCGATGGTGAACGTCACAGCCATGGCGAACGTGACGCAGGCGCAATCGTGCGACAGGGCGCCGACAGTGATGGACGTGGCGCCGAGGTACGGTGCCTTAGCGCCGGCAGCTCTCGATCCTCGGGCGTCGGTTGTTAAAGCGAGGCTTGTCATCGGTAAGCAGCAGTCGGACTGGAATACCACCGGTGGATTTTACATCCCGACCAACTTTTCCATCGGCTTGCCGAATCACAAGTGCAGCACGCCGGTGATGCTCGGGGATCCGAGCAAGTTGCCCTCCTCGGAGGGAAGTAGGAAGATGATTTCCGCGTTGAAGAGCTGGTCCGTCTCTTGCGGGCCTATTCCAGACGTCGTGGAGCCGAAGACTTGCTGTGTCTCTCTCTCCGGCATCTACAACCGGACGTTGGCCCCCTGCATGGCCTGCGCCTGTTCCCAGCTGTCGCCGTGTAACGGCGCCAACCCGCCGTGCGAGACGACCCTGCCCGCGATTCCCCAGCCGGCGTTGGATGCTGTTCTATCCTCCACCAAGAACAACTACACTCTCCCCGACGTGCCGAGGCAACTTCTCCCCCGCCAGTGCAAGTCCGGATGCGGGCAGCAGGTACACTTCCATTTGAGCAGGATCGAGGGTGACACCTGGACGCTAGACGCGCGAGTGGATAACGTTCTGCCCATAGATTTGGTTAATTGGATGGTGGTTGTGAAGTTTCATCGCAACGTGTCGCGAGCGCTGATGGTAGTTCACTCCGTCAATAGCACGGTTGCTGATGACGACGGCACGATCGCGTTCTTCGGGTTCAAACACTACAACGAGGTGCTAAGGACGGGAGGCGGCATAACCTGGCAAATGGTGTTTAACGTCTCGACTTTGCTGGCGTATTATCGGCATGTCGATCCCTCCCTGCTCGACCCAACGCAGAAAGAGACCCCCGAGGAGGAGCTCGCTACTCGTATAGATCAAAGAATGTTGCCGTGGAAGGTCGTATTTATGGGTAGGGAATGTGCTATGCCGGAGGCACAGTATATTCCATCTCTACCATTCTCTAGCAGTGACGTAACCCCGTCCCCAGTTCAGGGGGTTGGTGAACAGATGCCGGTCACCGATAGTTCGGGGAGTTCACCTCGAGCGGGACCGGGGTTTTTATTTTTCCTTTGGCTGGGGGGGTGTTTTTTTTTCTATATAGGAGGGTGGGCCAGGTCCCACTAGCAACGGGGTAGGATAGAAACGAGTTTGTGGGGCAGTTGAGTGACCCGAATCCTGCAGTGCAGTACTCATGATCCCACGGTCAGTATTTTACTTGTATTACCCGAAAAAGTAAGGAGATCTTCATTCCCCTCCTCCTCCCCTCCTCCTCTCCTTAAACCACTAGTACTTGGGCACTGCGCGCCGCGCCGGCCGCCCAAATCTCGAAGCAGCGCGGGCTGTCGATTCGATTTATTGACAGCCCGCAGAAATCGCATAGCGTTAACGCTAAGGCGTCGTCCAAGTACTGGTGGTTTAACACTGGGCATGCCCGTGCAAAGAAAGCTTCCCGCTAGATCGGTTGGGGGTGTGGCCAACCCAAAAGGAGGGTGGGGTCGGCCTTAGGCCCACTGGATAAAAGATTTTCAGTATTTTACTTGCTGTTGTGGAATTATCTCATTGGTTGGAGCCCTCCTTCAATCCTCGAGTATAATATGGAGGGTGTGGGGATCAGTGCTGACAGAAGTCAAGTTTATTCCAGAAAATGTGGTGGTGACTTTGTTCACTGTTGTTGCAACCACCACCATCAGATTATTTGTGATCTGATGGCTAGGAAGCGCTCTGCCGTGATTTCCGGTGGGAGGGGTCTGGTCCCACCTGCAGCGTTGAGTCTTCTCAACACTGAGCTTTCTATCAAGTGGGGCATGGTGGGATGGATCTCTGCCGGTGATGTACTGCGATCTAATGGCACCGAAATACAGGAGAATACCCTATTAGATTTTGCCATTTTGTAGATTTTTTCTTTGACGTGAAATCCGTTTTGTAGTATGCTTTGGCCCTTTTGGTTCGGACGGGAAACCATTTTCCATGGAGAAAACTACCATACCGAGGGTAGGGTACATTTCTCAACTGCAGTGGCTTTCCTTTTTTTTGTTTTTTTAGACATCATTGCATCCTGACGCGGAGGACTCTGACAGCTGTGTTTGGCTGTCTGGCATCAAACTTAGAGTTGGACCCCACCGGACGGCGGCTCGGAAAAAACAAGGCGCCGGATTGTTTTGGAGACCCCACTGGTGATGGAAAGAGGTGTGGAAAGCCTCTTTGGAAAGGTTTTCCAGACCCGACCGATGATGGAAAGGGGTTGCCGAAATGCTGACGGGGCGTTTCTGCACGGTCGGCGGTCTGGAAAATTGAGGGCAAGTTCGGGCATTCCTTTTCCAAAGAGGGCGTCCAGCTGACTAGGGGGGGGGCCATGTTCTCCGATGGCATCGGAGGAGATGAGAGTGTGGTCCAATCGACGGTTCAGGGGGCGTTTTGTGATGGACAGTCCTTACCAAACTTACCTATTCGGGACGGACGATGTCTGGTTTTCCTTTTCGGGGAGGTCGTGCCGTTTCCAGTGCCCGTTTTTGCGGCGGCGATGGGGTCCCAAGGAAATCTGGTACATGCTTTCCAGACTCAGTCGGCCGTTTTCTGTGGCCATACTGCTTTTCCAGCCGCCGGCCAGTGGGGTCCACCTCTTATTTCCTTCTTTGGGCAATGAATGCATTTGGCTATCCACGTTTTTTTTTTCCTTTTCGGGAACAAAGCTCCAATCTATTCGTGGGGAGCAGCACGTGCTGGGAACCGGGCCCAGCGTCCCATATGAAAATTTACATAGAAATTGTAAAATTTATGATGCCGGGGCCATTACCTGGCTTGGCTAAGAAGAATTTAAGCTACTTAGCAAATTACTGCGACAGACTTCAGAATAAGCAAGGTTCAGAAAACGACTCAAACCCCCCCATCAATCCTCTTTACCTCACTCCGGCAAGACTTACTGCAGCAGAGCCACCATCTCTGCTGCTGCTGTACCCTATTACCATCCTACGAGCTGGCCCCCTCACTAATAGGACGCTTGGTATCCAACCATCTACTTCTCAAAATTTAGAAGACCTCCCCCTGCCAGCATTGATTGCCCTGGAAACCAGGGGATTAACTGAGCAGGGACCCCCTTTGATAATAGGTAAAACCTAGAAAATACGGAAGTATGGCAAAAAAAAAAACATATGCACAATTCAGAAAATGCCTCAGACACGCCCAATCAATCCCCTGTACCCCACTCCGGCAAGACTTAGCCCCCTTACTATTAGGACACGTGATATCCCACCTTCTTCTTCTTCCACTCGCCTTGATTTCTTTGAGAAAACGTCTGAGCATTTCAGAAACCGTAGGTCCTATAAATGCTCCAAAACCCACGAAATCCCTAGCAACCCTTCCAATGCTCTCCTGGACCAACACTGTCTTACTCCATGCCGAGCTCTTCCAGGTCTCACACCCCCACATCCTGCTGGGTTACAGGGCAACGCAACTCACCCTAGCTCTGACCAGCATTGTCCCAGCAGCAACCCTTGGTTGTCCCGTGGAATGCCCACCCCGAAGCATCCCCAAATCTCTCTACCAGGCGTCACGCTCCTGCATCAGCAGGTTACAGGGCAACACCCCAGCACCGGCCAGTGTCGTTCTGGCATCGAACAGCCACAGGTCACTGAGTATAACAGCATCGAAGCCATGCAAGATGAGTCGCTAGGGATCCCAAGAGTCCTAAAACATTCTTAAGACCACCAACCAGCCATCTACGTATGGTCAACTTTTTGCAGAAATGAGAAATTTATGGGAAAGTCCTTGAGGTACCGGAGCCATCACCCGGCTTCGGCAAAAAGAATCCTCTAGCCTCCAAAGCTCGGATCAAGGGAGCATTCAGAACGAAAGAAACGCCTACTTTAGAGCCTTTCGGCAACCCAACCTTACCTGCCTCACCCCTATATCCCGATGCCCAATCTCTACCCGGCCACATGCCCCCAACTGCTAGGTTACAGGGTGGAACGGCCCACCCCAGAAAAACCCCTACCTGTTGGGCCACAGGGCAAAACGACCCGCCCCGGCTCAGGCCAGCATCGGCTACGCACCAGCTCATGAAAAGACACTAGAGTGCCTTCCACCCTCGACAACTCCCCAGATCTCTCTACCAGGTCTCATGCCCTCATACCGCTTGAGTTACAAGGCAGCACAACCAAACCCCAACACCGACCGACAACGTTCTGGCTTCATCCATTCACGAACCACCGGGACTCAGGACTAAGGCAAATACTAGTCAAGCTACCAACCAGCACCGCAGTTGCAGGTCCCATCATTCATCTTGCAATTATCCCCCAACAAAACCTTCTCAACCCTACTCCGACAAGTCTTACTATGGTGAAGCCACCATCTTCACCGCTGCTGTATGTGACGCACAACCTCACGCCCTGTGCTGTCTTCCGTTCGGAGTGCTAAAGGTGCGGAAAGAAGGCCCAGAAAAACAGCAAGATGGGGCATGCCAAGGATTTTTGGAAAATTGAGTGTGGGGACACAGACATAAATGAAATCCCCCGTGTTGGTCTGATGAAGTAGATCGGTTGGTTTCCCGCGTCGCGGAATGCGCGCGCGGGCACGACGCGAAAATAAAAAAATTTAAATTCAATCTAAAAAGTATTGTTGAACTTCCCACCGCGCTGTGGATCTTCGTTTAGAGCGGAAGGGCTTCGGTACACTCCGCGTGTCCCGTTTCTGTATCAAGTCCTGACGTCGCTCGTTGGTCAGTTCCGAGTTCGACGTGGAGGGTCTCTGCCGCGTGGCTCTTTCCTTGTGCTCATCTTCACTCCGTATTCGGTAGTGAAAGCCCTTTGATTCGTAGCGATCGAAACGCTGACACTTAGTGCACAGGGTTCGAGGCCAATGGGGCGCCACCGCCGTCCACGGAATGACGATCAGCTCGTTAAATGACAGTAATACTGAGTGAAGTGGGTAATGCGTATCGACAATGACAAAGCCCGCGTCCACGAATCCAGAACAACGATTTTTGGGAGGGAAGTAATATCGTCCGCCGATCCGTGCGACAACTTCTCGTACATCCCACTCGCAAACACGTGTCCTTTTGTCGTTGTAAGGGAAGGGGCGCGTTGGCGAGGGAGATACGGGAGGCCGGCACCCGATCATGGTATGCCTGTCAGTCCACATGTCAATCAATCGAAATGAATTTGCAGAAACCCTGGGGCCTTATCAAAAAGCACAATCGCAAAAACCAACTCACATTTTCCTTCCTTTTGACACGAGAGAAGCATCTTACAAAGCCCGTACGACCATGCAATAATCGGGGTGGAGTTCGAGGGGATCCACCCGCGACTCAGGTTCAGCAGACCAGATCGACAGAAATCCGAGGCGCCTGACTTTTTCGAGGCGGCCCCATAGACTGTCTGCAAATGTCGTGCAGTATAAGGCAGATGGCATACGCAGTGTATTCAGAACGACAGATCTAAACACTCTTGCATTCTTGAGCAAAGATCCCGTCAAGTTCTGGGTCTAATCAACACAACCAACTCACATACAAGCATTCCTATGCATACATCCATTGTGGAAGGTGCGAAAATGATAATGGTGCATAAAAAACAAATCGGGGGATAATACACATGCATCCACCGTTCACAAGACAAGAGGATTGAGCTCCCTTACAGTCGGGGATTACCCAAGGAACTAATGGAAGAGTTCCGGAAGAAGTTATGTGCGGAAAATCATGAGGACTCACTTCTGTTCATAGGAGAGACAAACTCATAACACATCGTCATTCAAATTAGAGAGAGAGAGTAGGAGAGATAGACGAGAAATGTCGAGACAGAAGACACCGGAATCCGATAAGGGAACATTCGGCTTCACAGCCATGAACTCACACCAAAAGAAATGATCCGCAACCATGAAGGCGCATTCGCCGTGAAATTCTAGTATGGCCCCGGGCCAATCATCCACTCAACTCCAATTACCGATCCTCATACCCGCACCGACGATGCCGGTCGTCGCGTGCTAACTTCCGCCGCTGCGATTGCACCCCCCTGACGCAAGCTCGACACGGCTTGCCCGAATCCCACAGTCCGTCGTGGCGATCAAGCGCGCAACTGGTCAGCGTACAGTCAGCCCGACAGGACTTTTGGACTCGCACCAAATGCATCACCTAGCCACTGCTTACCGGAAGCTCGCTTGCGAGTGAAAAACGTAAGAGAGATTTGCGGCCGCGCTTGCGGAATTTATAGTTGCGAAAAAGAGGACAAACGGGAGAGAAGATAGAGGGGAAATCGAGGTGTAAGAGGAAAAAAATTAGCGAGGGGTGTTCAAGGGAAGCCATGTTGATCCTTTGGAACTCAATGTTCAGCCAATCAGATTCGTCGCGCAACAGGAAGATCCTCTTGCTCAACGTGTCTGATTGGTGAGCAGGGGTAATCGAAGGATCAACCGGGTTTCGTGAGCCAAGGTTGAAGATTGAGAAGGAAAGAGGCGCGAAAAGTAGTGCGAGACGGGTCCAAGATTCAGATGATCAAGAAAGGAAACAGGCGCGCAAAGAGTAGAGAGAGGGAAAAACAGTTGCAATAGGAGAAGAAGAGGAGGGAGAAGGGAGAGAGAAGAGAGCGCGGGGGAAGAATGACGCGGGAAATAAGGAGGAGGAAACTCGCATGCGTGGCGCCGACAACAAGAGAAAGATAAGGCATCAAAACAGTTACAGCTTGCCTGTCCTACACCAATTCAAAAATTGAAATCACCATATCTGCGCGTGAAAGTCAACGCGGGAAAAAAATGTCCTATGCTTATCCGTATTTTCACAAAATTCCTAGAGTTTTCTCCGATGTGACCAAGAACATTCATGCAAAGAAAAAGACACGTCGGGTTCTGCTTATTCCGGAATTCCTAAGTGTCGAGCCCGATTCCCAGTGCGCTCGCTAAGGCGCGCGTAATTTCTCATGCATTTCCCGAATTAAAAAAAGAAAAATTCCAAGAATCAATAGAACCTCCGAAAAATGGGAGCCTAAACAAGGCACCTCAAATTAAGAAAAGCGACGGGGGCTTTGTTGGGTCGGTATGATACAAAAAGGGGAATTGAGTCAAGGGGTACGAAAGATAGCACGGGGTTGGGACGTGTCTCGTCACATGTACCCTATTAATCCCTACCGGCTAGCCCCTTCGCCGCAGAGTGCGTCATCGTCCACCGTCAGAGCTTCACTACCCCCTACCTTTAGCTCCAAAACCTTGGACGAATTTTTCATTAGGAGTTTCAGATTTGAGAAAACATCAATCATTGAAAATGAATCTGTGTTACCACTCGTTCATTGAACGCGCGTTTCACATTCAGGTTTTGAACGCGGTGAATGCGCGTTCACTGAACGCGTGGGAACGCGTTTCACGCGTTTGCGAAGGGGTTTTTTGGCATTGGGGGGTGGGTTGGGGGCCATGTGTGTGTGTGTGTGTGTGTGTGTGTGTGTGTGTGTGTGTGTGTGTGTGT